AATCTGGCTATACAACAGGAAAAGCTGTTTCCTTACAGAGAAGATTTTTTTTCTCTGCTTTTCTGTGGGACCAGCTTTAGATTTCAAAAATGGTTCTCTGCAATCCAGATAAAGTAAGCTTCCTGTCCTAACAGAAAGTTTGCTTTATGTATAAACTTTAAAATGTATATAGCTGTGAACTCTCACAAATGGGCCTTCTATTTTATGTTTGGACCTATTTAAATTTTCTTAAGGAGTGGTTAAGCTAGAGGTACCTCTACTTAACTGTCATTGAAAAGGATGACTAAATCTGATATCTGAAACCTTAGACTACTTACTCCAAAGTAGTATACATGCAATCTTTAAAAGACTGACCAGATAACCTACTTCAGCAAGTCTGAAAAACTTTCAGCTTCAATTATTAGAAAAATTCTAGGTAGGTAATCCTGTATTTTATGTCCTCAAACTGTAATGCAACTTCTCTCATTAGCTGACCAGCGGAGCAGTATGGGTTCAGTTTAATGATGGATCCCAACTGGTAGCCCAAGCAGGTGTTTCTTCTATCACTTACACATCTCCAGATGGCCAGACAACTAGGTAAGTCTATTACTGCTGTAAAAATAGTTTGGTTTACTGTCAGTGCAAGGCTGTTAGATATAAGGTAAACTTCGTAGCTGCTATTCATTTTGTGCTGTAAATATTAAAACTTAGCTTTTCAATCACTTCTCAGTTGATTAGCTTATAAGCTTAATAAAGAGAAACACATATAGCTTTGACTGAACTCTGGATAACAAATGAATCAAAAAAAACCAAAAACCTGGGAATGCATCTACTTCTTGGTCTCCAGAGTATAGCCACTATCCATGTATAGTATTTAAGAGGGAGGGGGAGAAAACTAAGGTTTTAAGACCTTTTTTTTTTTTTCTCAAGACACTGCTAGATTAGGGAGATTGCATAGACCTGAAGTGCTTGGGTGAAGTTTTGCATATCTTTTGGACACTGAGCACTTCCCATACAAATATGGGCACTCATTAACATGCTTACTCTTAGAGACAGTCATATAGAATCTGTTCAGATATTATTGCTTTAAACATTTAGATTATATTTTCTTAATCTGAAACATTTTTTCAGTTAAATATGTACAGGGAAAAGGGGCCTGGATTTAGGCCATCAAGCTTCAAGTAATGTTTAGATATACTTAATATCCACTTAGTAGTTTGCCTATTTACAGGCAAGTTTTGAAATAATTATACTGTCCTTAAATTATTTCAAGCATCTAAATTTTGTATGCTTATTTGCCTTTCTAGGTATGGAGAAAATGATAAATTGCCAGAATACATCAAAGAGAAGCTGCACTGTCTGTCTTCTATTCTTGTCATGTTTACCAATCCAGCTGGTCCCCACTGATTAAAGCAAAGGGGGTGTCAGGACACAGAGCTTAATAAACTCACTCACTGACTTTTAAGTGACTTATCTTACTCAGCTTATGCAGAAATTCTTCCAAAAGCTGGTAAAAAATAGGAAGGGTTGCTCTGTTTATGTGTAGCAAATTGCTTGTAAAGTATCACACAAACCATGTTTTTCATCAAAATGATGGATAAACTTGCTCAAGCAAAACCTTGAGCAACTTTGTTCTAAACAGCATCAACTTTTTGGAAATAATCTGAATCTGTTGTATTTTTTCTTCCCCCACTGCTTACTCAGTGTGAACAATCAAGGAAAAAGCATCTGTGCTGTTGAAGTGTTTGTATTTGTAAATAACTTATATTTTTAAGTCTTACAAGTAATATATGTAAATATGTATATGTTTTATAACATTGTTTTTATTTTTTGTAGAAGCAGCTTAAACCTCCCTGCACAAGCATTTCATACAAAAAAAAAATAAATGCAGTGGTAATTGTCCAGATCTATTTGTTTTATGTTTAAGTGACAATTTATTGAGAGCCCGTTCTTCTAATTAGTAAACTCAATTTCTGTCTTAGAGCATCATATATTGGGAGTTTAGGTTTGGGTGGAGCTTAGGGAGAAACATATAAACCTGCTACATCAAGTTACTTCTAACTTGCTCAACTGAAAAATTGCACTATGGTTGTATATTCAATATTTTACCTCTTAACTACAGCTGACTAAAACTAGGAGCACAGTTGATAGGAAAGTGAACTACATCTACTGTAGTAACTGATTCCATTTCCTACTTTAATAAAATTCCTACAATTTTACATACTTTCACCTTGTCTTACACAGTATGAATTATACCTATAACAAACTGCAGTAGCATGCACAGAAGCTATTTCTTAAGTATTCTGTTTCAAGTGTGCTATCATTCCTGATGGTGGGTTATATTCATATTTAAATACTCAGACTTCTTTGTAAGGTAGGAGAAAGGCTTAAGTTGAGTGGAAAAGCAGGATCCAAAAAGGTGTCAGGGGGGGGGAGGATGGAGAGTTTCAGAGAGGCTGAAGGTGGCTTGCACATGTGGTCTAGGCACAAAAACCCCTCAGGAAAGAGATGTTCCACTGCAGCTTTTTAAAATCTGCAAGCTCGGCTTTGAGCTCAATTAGCCTTGACTTCAAGTCAGTTCTCCTCATTCATCTAGTCTTTAACAGAGACAAAACTGGTTATTTTGTCACATCCAAATCTAGGAAATGTCTTGTAAATATAGACATATAAGTAGCACTTAAAAAAAAGCCTTAAATGATTCTAAAAAAAAAATTCTTTGTAAACTGCTCTTTCAGTTGAGAAGTATACCTTAATATTCAGGTGGAGTAACTGCATGGTAAAATAACTATTGCAAGTCTTTAATAAATCAAGTCATGCAGACTCTAAGGGGTTTTTTAATATACCTGTAGATACAAACGTGCACATACACATGAATACAACTTTCTTTTAATATTAAAGTATTAAAACAATGTTTCTTCTATCAACTGACTTCTAAAGTAGTAAGGCAGCCTTGGTAAGATGTAGGTCAGCACTGCATGTTAAAAACTTGCATTATCTGCCACGCTGATTATCTTTACTTTAGACATAGCACAATCTAGTTTGATGTGCAAGTTGAAGAAAGTCTAGGAGTGAGTTAGACACCAGAGGACAGAAAGGCATAAATTCTTAGAAAGAACAATCAGCTAGCTTGTAAGGAGCAGTGTGACTTTAATGTAACTGCGCTTCATTGCTAGCCAGAATAAACAGAAAAAAACAGAAGCCCTACCTGTGACTATAAGAACAGGTTTTCTAAGAATGAGAGGATGCTAATCCACAAGAAGCAAGCTGTAGCTTACAACGCAGCTGACCTAGGAAAATAAAAGTAATGCTCATGGTCAAAAAATTTCAAACCTTGCTTTCTTATTTTAATTATTATGTAAACATTCATGTGTATGGGCTACTCCTTTTCAGGAATATTCTGTATTTTATATGTATTCATTGCAAAGAAAGACTTTAATCTAGTTTTATCCTTAACACATTTAAAATGTGTTACAGTTAAAATAATCCTTCCAAGTATCCCAACATTTTCTCACTCTTACATTGGAAGTTAGCTAGCCTGAAGAACAACAGTAATAAAAACCCTAAAACAGATGTACTTTCAGCACAAACGGAGTTGTTGAATATGAAATCCTAACCATGTTAACCATTTTGAAAACTCTTGCATTTCTCATGACTGAAGAAACTTCCAGTTGCTGTAACTCTAAGCACTCCATTTTGCAGCCTTTTCACCACCAAGATACAGTCTTTCTGGTACTATATATTATGAATTAGCATATAAAAGAAATGCTGATAAAAGCAAAGTCCTTTCTCACAACTTTTCTGATTCTGCACCAGGAAAGCCCAAGAGAGAAGAAAACTTCTGTATTCCCTTCAGTCAGTATTGAAAAAATAATCTTTTAATTCAGTAGTCTTTTAGTGTTTGAACAATTGATTACATAGGCATACTTAATTACATTTAATAAATTCAGTAAGCATCAAATATTAGACACATTAACAGCAGCTACAATTCTTATACTAGAGTCATTCTAATGTTCTCCCCAGTGGTATTGAAACAGATGAAACAAACTCGTACAGATGAGCTTAGGCCCCATTATGACAGAAAATTAATATTTCACTTTAAAAAAAAACCCCACTTGATTCAAAAATTAGAAATTCCTGATTCTCATACCATATTACCAGAAAAAATAAGAAAATAAGTCTACAAGTCATAGTCAACACCTGAGGAGCCAGTTTCTTCCTTTTTACTTAATTAACAGTAATGCTGGTTGCTCAGCACAGTGCATTCATTGTCACAAATGACAATGAAGCGTAAACTATCACGCTTAATACTTTCTTCTTGTAGTGAACTTAAGAAAAGCTGTGCATAATTCAACTCTGTGCAGGTTATCTTCCTTGCTACAAAAAGGCCTTCAGCAAAACAGTAGAAGAAAAATTGCACATACGGTTCAGTGTAGTTCAAGTAACAGCCACTGAGGCTGTGATTTTCAATGGCTCTTAACCAATTTAAATACCCAAATCCCACAAAAACTGCTTGTGAAGTAGGCACCTACCTTCCTCTACAATTCCGTTACATTACATTTGAAATCCCGGAGAAGATGTACTGATAAGTAACAGTTTCCAAAAAGTGAGACATTTTGTATTAACCAGTGCTTACAAGCTAGCAAACTGAACACCAGAAGGTTCACTTAAGTAGTGGTGTTTCCATACAAAGTGCATGCAGCTCAACTAATCTTGTAGTTAGAAAAGAGTTACTAATCCTGATTCACAGAATCAAGATAAATATTTCTTTTACTTCTTTCTGGAAAGGATGCACGTAACCTGTAACCTTCACAGCTGCATTCACAACACAGGTGTATCATTTAAACTGTACACACTTCTCATGTGCCATTTTATTGATCTAACTTGCTCACATCCTTTCCTCTGCTGCTAGAAATGCAGAATACAAAAGCTCTCCTGCAGCAGGTGTAACCTTATATTAGGATATGACCAAGTTATGTGTTCTGTTAATGTGTAAGTACAGGTGTACAGTTCTTAGCATACAGCCAGAAAGGTCAGTGGTTAGGTACTCCTCATTAAAAAGTAGTAATAAATTAAGTATTATTTCTGGTTGGTTTTACTTTTTTTTTTTTAAATACATATTTAACAATTCTCTTCTTGCATCCTTCCATATCTGACAGAAAATGCAATAAGTCTCTTGTATACTATCTCCAAGAGTAAGAGAGAGACTACGACTATTCCACAGATTAAGCTAAATGCCCAACGTGGTCCCAGGTGCGTGTATATTTGGCTCACAAAAACAGGCCCAAGTATTCGTGCTGCACTTCCAGAGGCAGTTAACCATCCCATGTAGACACCCTACAGAAGATCAAAAACTTATGTTAGTGACAAAGGAAGTATTTGGCTTGCCAATAATTCCCACCAGTTATCCTAATTAGAAAATTTAGAAGTGTTTAAGCAATTGCTTATCTTTCTTAACTCATTAAGATACTTTGTTTCCAAGAGTACTGCTCAGCTTCTCTAAGCATTAATTCGAAGGCTCCACTGAACTACACATTCTATAGCTTTCTAATAAAAAGGCATTTTTCAATATTTGGCTAATGACAAAAAGAATTTTAGCAAGAAACCTTATTGTAATAACGAGGGCGCAAGTCTTGGAGAGCAAATGAAATAAACTGTTTAGGCATCGTGCTTACCTGAGGCTTTGGTCCAAGAATTTTTGAGTATAAAGTGTAGGACATGACATTACAAACTGGATAGCCCAATCCTATTAGTATGTCAGAGCTGATATACTGGGCCAGATAGATCATAGGAGTATTCAGGCACCAGGACTGCGTGACAGGGCAGCCTACGGGTTCTACTGTGTGGTTGGATGGAAGCTGCATTGCTTGCAAACTCCAGAAAGGCGTTAACAGTTCAGCGGAAGTTGTTCTGGGAATGGAGTTATTCTTTATTTCTGTAAAAATAAGTTATGTGTCCTATTAAGAAAAAAATACAATAAAAAAGCTTTCAAAAAACATTATGATGATAGTTTAGTATGACTTGTATTCTACCTTGCCACTGGATATTTGGTAGTTTTTTCCCCCATGGCAGTAAGATAAAGAATCCAACCAAGACAATCAGTAAGCCTCCATGGAGTATGGCACGCTCACCAGTCCTATCAAACAATGAAATTACAATTAAATATATCATTTAATTAAAGTAAAATTTAGGAAGGTGCTAACAGCACAACCCATTAATTTCTGGAATAGATGCCTGACCAAAACACCTGCAAGAAAAATTTCAAAATCACAGTCACTTAAATCCCATTTTTCTTGTGATTCAAAGATAAAAGGCAGACAAGGAAGGGGGTTACATTAACAGAATGAAGAACAGCCACAGCATCATGGCTGCATCAAAATTGGAAGTACTTCTTTGTCATACTAAACCTAAATTCATTAACAAGTACAAGATTTAAGTAATGCAAACTTGGCCTTGCTGTAAAGCTTTTTCGCACTTAGCTAACATAAGTAGCATAATTCTGATTGATAAACTCCAGAAACTTACTTTTTAGATAGTGTTTTAACCACCATGAAAACAATAACTGATTCAACGCCAACCACACTAAGGATTATTCCATTATAAAAAACAGCTTCTTTCCTGGTCCAGGAATACATATCCATCGTCAATGGAGTAGCTATACTAAATTGACAGAACAAAATTACATTAATTAAAAAAAAATATACCACTGTGCGCTACATATTTTTAGTTATTTAGTTAATTCATTACTCTATATCAGTATACATCAATTCGTTTGCATCTGGTTGTGGACCTCTATTTATGAAGGGCACAATTACGAAAATGAGTGCAACAGAAAAGCCTATACTTGCACACCCAGTCTAACTACATCACATGTCTAAGTATTTTGAGAGAAAATAGACAAACTTACGTTTCAAAGACAGCAAACACAAACAAGATGACAAAGAAAAGCAAATTGATTGCTACCACAGCAACGTGGTCAACGTTTCCTTCTGCATCCTGATCCAGAGCCCCACTTTCTACAATAAAACAACAGAATAATCTAAACTGCAAACTGAGCTTTCTTTACACCACCACAAGTTACAAACAAACAGCATTGATTTCCTTACTCGGTTAAGTATTTAACATGCAGGTTGGTGGGTGACTAGGAAGTTATGTTTTGACAATCTAAGTATAATGTTTTAAAATCAAAATGGAATTGTTGAAACTTCAATTCCTCTGACAATGAGGGAAAATGATTTCCAAATCAGTTAGACCATCTGTTTTCCCACTGTAATGCTGGGACTGACAAATCCTGAGTGACAGCAAAATAAGCAAACTTCTTTAAATATCTTAACAATGGAAACCAAAACACTTTCTGTTCCTCTTGCAATGTCAAAAGTACACAGTACAATTCTCTGCACTGCCACAGAGCCTTTGTTCCTCTAACCCAGGCACAGCATTTTCATACACAGAACACCCATGTGTGGTATGCACGTACAGCTCCCTTTTTAAACAGAAAACTAATACAAAATACTGGTGCCTTCAAAAGATTTAAAAAGAAGTTTAAGTTGACCTTTCATATACTTTTGATTCTTCAAGTGAAAGTGATACTCACAATGTTTTAAAAAATTTGAACTGCGTACAAAAAGGGTATATATTGAACAGAAGCTGTTGCACTGTATGTGGCAATTACTGTACTTCAGTCTCACTAACCAAATTTATTTATACAACATACACTTTTTAATAAGATGTCATATATGAAAGCTGATTTGCAATAACAATATTACTCAGCATGATACAGAACAAAAGAGAAGCATGACCACAAAGTAGAAATTAGGGAGATTTTTTTAATATCCATATTCACTTAATCCTGTCTCTTGGAAAAGACAGTTCCAGGGTGAAAGTCTGGAAGGATCCATACAATATTTTTTTCTTCTTTGCTACCAGACAGCACTATGGACACAATATGGATGTGAAGCAATTTCTGGACCAGTTAGCAAGAGATGTAGCCTATTTTTCACTTCGAGGTCCCAATGCATCAGACTTTAGAATACTTCAAAATGCTTGTATGTAGTAAGGGAGTACTTCAAAATTAAAATCACAGAATAAGTTTTCAAGAAAACATAGGTACCTTCTCCTTCAAAATTGATACTTTTGCATTGCCGTCCCATGTCATCCACTCGATGCTCTCTAGAAGTTTAGAAACGTTTTCATTAATACACATATTTATTTGATCTACTACTGAGTGAAGTTTCTATTAAAATAATCCTAAATGGCATAATGTCATATTCTCATTATTCCCAGCTCCTTTAAGCATCATCTGTGTAGTCTACATTTGACTGCAGTGGACACCACGATATTCAAGAAAGAAAATATTCTACTGGGAGAATATCACATATCTGTGCATTTCTCCCCTCCCCCCCTCACTGCTACCAATGGGATAATGCATAAAAATCCCCCCTTGAGATTCTTCGAAGAAAGACACAGACAGTGAGGATCCTACAGACAAGCTAACCTTATTTCTCTTTAGAGAAAAGACATGGGCAGAAACCATCAACATTAAAAATATATCAAGGCTAAAAGCTAATAATCTAAGAACTCTAACTTTTTCCATCAGTTTATATTCTAGCTGTAACATCACTATGACTAATTTATGAGCATAATGAAAAACATATGTATTAAAGAAGGTAGAAACCCTGAAAAATAAGTAACAGCTTATAGTTTTAGTGCTCCAGATTTCAGCCTTATTACTCCTCCTTCTGAGCAGAATATTATTTGTTGCAAGTCACCCACTAAAACAAGGTAGAACATTTCTCTTTTTTGACTTGATTACCTCAATATGGCAAAGATGAGAATAATATTAATAACTCCTAAGAGAGCTCCAAATAAAACTGGTGCCGTATACATGTTCAGTTGAAGATTAACTAATTTCCATGTTATTCCTTCTTCTCCAATAAGTGTAAAACATGTCTGAAAAACTTAAAAACATAAATGTATTCAGAAAATCTTGACAATCATTAAGAAAATATTAGAACACATATAGAATAAACATATGAAACTGAATAAGCAAAGCTGTTCCAATTGCTAAGTAAAATTTAAATATTACCAAACCTTTTACATTATGAGAATCCTACTCTCAACACTGATGGGTATCAGTGAGATCTCAACCAGTCAGAAAACTACTTGGTTACATACAGATACACTGTATAGATATCAGCATGATACTTAAAGAACTGGAACTGAATTCCAAGTGTAACAATGGTTAATTTTCTTGGCCACATGCAGACACCTGATTTACTGTTTCTTCTTCCTCCTACATGGAAAACCTTTGTCCTGGGACTGGACTAGGGCAAGCTAGAGAGAAAAGAAGTTGCCGTACTGGTTTTTTTGTTTGTTTTGTTTTGTTTTGTTTTAAAATTAAAATTTAAATTGGAGCAGAGCAAAAGATTGTAAGATCAGGTCATTTGCATACTACTGTTAGGAAACAGACAGAGAGTCCCTATCAAGTTAGGAAAGGTGACTATCTAAATGTATACTCCATGCAAATCACACGAAGAATGCAGATTTTTTGTTGCTGTAGACCCTTAATGTTCTATCAACAGTGCTAGTAATAATCAACCAGAGAAAAAACTTTCAGCCCTAAACATTCACCTCATTATATTACCATACACAGAGCACTTCAGCTCTACGAATCGGATAATCTTAATCTCCAGCTACAGAAGACAAGTAATCAGTAGAGGCTGTTTAGGACAAAATTGCTGGTTTCTCTTTACAACACAGGGCAAGTCTAATGCATTTCTCTCGTGAAGCAGATGAAATATCTCGGGAGCCAGTTGTGCCTGATCTAACTAATGCCCCTTGAGCTCTTTGTTCCCTTAGCTTACTGTAATATCTGTGCTATGTCTTAAAATTTTTGCCAGTATGAAGACGTCGTGATCATCACTACAACATCAGGAAGATCTGTGGGATGTCATTTTCTACAACACATGAGGCAAGGTGAAATTTTCAGTTATTTCAGAAAGGTAGAAATGTTTGCCCAAGTATAGTTAAGTTTAATTCCCTTCTCCATGAACAAAGTGCAATTGGTCATAGATTATTTAGTGGGTACTGGTACAAGAGAGCATCTTGGAACTTGTTTTTCCTGCAGCCAGCAATCCAAACCAGCTAGTTTTTAACTACAAACAATTAGAATTTCTTTAGACTAGACCATTTCATTTATATTGGCATACACAAGTACGTATGAGTGGATACCATTCATTCAATTTTGATAACTATGCCTTAAAATCCCCAACATACAGGTGCTGAGGATTCATACTTCCAATGCCCAATTTCATCCTAAAAAGTATTAAAGAAGTGAGGAAAAAAGATATGTTTACCTGGTCCTAATATGAAGCCAATTGCTTGGCAGGCACTGGTATTGGCCATGGCACTTGTTCTTTCTGTAAGAGAAGTGGCACCCGCAATATATGATCGAACTACAGCCACGTTTCCTTAAAAAAACAAAACCAAGAAAGTGTTCATGTAAATACTAAGTTATATTCTTAAATTATCTAGTTACATTTATTTTATTTTAGGGTTTTCTTCTTATTTTGCAATAAAATATACCCCATCATTCCCTCTAGTATTTATACACAACTGCACAAGTACATAATTTTATTATAAACTAGTATTGGCTGACTCTTCGCTTTGTTAAATAACAAGTTATCATTCACATAATGGTAAGTCTGGTACTAAAATATCATATTAACTATCTTATACAAGACATAGAATTTAATAATTTTCATAAATGTAAATTCTGCTGTGGTTACCTGCTCCAAATCCCACAAGAGCACGTGCAGTCAGCATGTAGTATTTGTTGTGTGAATGAGGTACATGGACATAGGCATAAAGACAATTAGCAGCTACTGAAATAGCAGTTGAAACAACAAGAGGTTCTCTCCTTGGCCTGTAGTTGGACCACAAGCCGAACAGGGGAGAGGCAACCATTTGGCCAATGCTATATGAAGCTATAATCCAGCCCAAGAAACTCGCATCTGCTGTCGGATCAATCTGCAGAAACAAATTAATCAATTCTATTGATAAAGTATTATAGTATTTTATAATATCAACAGAACCATTCTAGAATCAGTACCTGAAATACCTAAGACTCTGCACTGTAATTCTGAGGGTATACGGCACTACCCAATGCAATGTCAAACCTAAGCTATTGCTAAATAAATTAGTAAGTCTGCATGGCACAGTGCGGTGTTTAACATAAATACACCAAAAAACCCCCAAACAAACTAAAAACACTATCCAGGAACACAGACAATTCCCAGTTAAGAATACCAAGAAGGTCTAAGTGCAACAATATGACACTTACAGAGCAACTTCTACCTTCAGCTTCCGTTTTGTTGGGGGTTTTCTTTGGCGTTTTTTTTGTTGTTTTTTTTCAAAATGCAGACAAGCCTTGTTATGTTTTAACACTACAAATGCATTCTGATAAAGAGATTTCTATTGATTTACTGTCCAATAAAACAGTGAAATTATATTGGAAAACTAAACATTTCTGGATTATGATGTACTTTTATCAATTCAGGAAATCAACTGACAGATATTTACATGAAATAATGAAAGCTGTCTAAATGGATGGCAAAATAGAAGTCTCTTATAACCACACACTTCCCTTTACTGTTTCTTTTCCTAAATAAAATGTCAAGTTTTGTATTACATTCTTCTGAGCAGGAGTTTTCTGTTCTTATTAAAACAAACAAACAAACAAATTTACAAACCTTTTGGAGATATGGCCACACAGACATAATTACAATTGAGAAACCTGCAATGCAGTAAAAACATAACTGAAGTTACTTTATTTGCCATGTTTATCAATAATTTGCTTTACTGAAACAGTTATTACAGGTTCATTCTTCTGCTCCTAAGTGTATGATAGTCTACAACTGTGCATCAGTCTGTCACCTGAATATATTTATGTATATAATGTATATGTATATTTTATATATA